AGAAAAGACTAGCATTGATGAGTGAAGTGAACGGGCTATAAATGGTCAACAATACTTTTGTACTTAATTGCATATTTAGTGGAACCCTTCAGTTGAAGGAGACTAGACGTAGCTTAGTTGAGCGAACCAATATAAAAATGATTACACCGTTTTATTTATATTTCTGACGCAGACTTTTCCTGATTAACAAATCATGTTAAAAACTTCGTCTACTGTCCATTGTACATTAAAACCATTTTTCAGATGAAGACGCAAATTTTTTTTAACAAACATATTATACTGAAAAGTTTTATCTACTGCTTATCCTTAAATTAAATTATCTTGAAAAGGAAAATGCAAGAGCTTTAATTATTATTATAAACCATTTTCCTCAACAGACGATAAATCTTTCAGATGCAATGACCTAGTGTTAAGAAAATTTTGCACTACCATCTGACATCTAAAAGTATATTGGACGAAGAACATTACTCTTGCAAAAATGTTTTTAAAAATACCTTTGTGCACACACACATATTCAACCCCCTCTCTCCTTTTATGTGTTTTTCTGCTAACAAAAACGTTATTCGGACAATAGCATGGAAAAGGTAACAGAGGAATAATCACGTAAATCCAAACATGACTAGGGTTTAGTAAAATAGGGCATCCCACACCTCAAACAAACGCTGCAAAAATGAAAGTCTAGTAGGAAACCCACTATAGGGGGCTGGGGAAAAATTAGGGCAAGATCCGTTAGGAGACCCACAAGCAAAAGGGGTAACCTAGGCAAAATAAGGATCAAAAGAAAATTTTTTGCTAGGGAACACATTCTAAGTAAGCTAGGCAAAAGTTAGGACGTTAAAGCAATAACCTGAGTCGAAAATCGAAAGGCGGCTTAAGGGGATCATCTAACCAAAGCACGACCCCAAGTCATCACTCCACTTTCTAAAAAAGGCTAAAACACAACGATAACTTCCCTTTAGCAAATATGTTTTTTTAATAACCTAAACACTAAAGCCCACCTTGGCCAGCAATTCTTCTAAAAAATACCTTTTGAAAAAAATCCCTTCTAACAACCGTTTTTGAAAAAGAAAATATACAAACATCCCTTCTCTCTTTTCTCTTAACCCTTATGGCATTAAAACGGTACCAAAAAGATACACGAAAAGTGCACAGTGAATACTCACAGAGGGAAGACCGAGATGTCCCTAAACGGACTCTACAGACATTTGACTACACATTGACTAGAGAAATAATGAGCCACTGAAACCTCAGGTTCAAAGGAATATATCCGGGCAATAATAAAAAATGGTACGGACAGAAAGGAATCGTCAAAATTAACCCTAACGCATACAGTTTAATTTCACGAAATTAAAATTTTAATTACATTTTTTATGAATAAAACACAAGCATAAACCGCATTGCATGCATGTGGTGGGGGAATATGAAAAGGCGTTAAAAAAAATTTATAATAATAAAATAATACAAAAGAGAAATTCATTTTTGTCTTGCGTTTTCATTGCATCCATGCATTATACTTGCTATGGGTTGTAGACCCCTAAAATTGTCCGGGTCGGAAATAAGACTCGAAGACTCTCGAAGACCAAAGGAAAGTCAGTCGGAAGGACTCCTGGAAGACCCTAGAAGACCCTAGGATGATTATTCGTAGGTTTAGAAGTCTTAGAGTAGCTTAAAATAAAGATGTGGAAGGATTGAAGCCCAATACGGCCTCCTAGAAGTTCAGTACGGCCGTACTGAACAATTTGAACTACAATACGGCCGTACTGAACCCAATACGGCCATACTGAAGTTTTTGAACTTCAGTACGGCCGTACTGAAACCAATACGGCCGTACTGAAGTTTTTGAAACTTCAGTACGGCCGTACTGAATTCAATACGGCCGTACTGTAGTTCAAATCTTCAGTACGGGCCGTATTGATGTCAGAGGCCGTACTGCGCCTCACTCCTATATATAGGA